CAGTACTTTGGATTTGGCCCTTCTTTTTTTGGATACAGATTTCCTCCTTGGTCTTATTTTTGGATACAGGACTTGGCCTTCTTGGATGGATCAGATACTCCTCCTGGAAGTGGATCAACCCTGAACTCTGGATTTGGCTCCTGTTGGATGGACCCTTTTCTGGATTCCCTTGTTTCTCTTACTAGTTACTTTTTCTTTATATTCTTTTAGTCTTCTATCTTCATACTGGCTGCATTGTCTGGGGACAGACAATAAGTTGGGGGAGGATGTGGTAACCCATACCTTTCCATAGCATCTATTATTTTACTGTACATTCACTGGGAATTGTTATAATATTACTACAGAATCAGATTCTACACCCCTTTTTACCTATAGTCACTCACTCAAGTCATATCTCATTTCTTACTGGTTCATTAGTTAATTGCAGTTTTAGCTTTACAGATATTATTCTTTACATTTACATTACACATTAACTACATACAGTACATATTTACAGTTTATCACATACATCATATTTTTCTCAAGTGCTATCTTTTTACATATATCTCTTCACATTACATCAGCCACACTCCTTTACAAGTACTTCTTTTTCACATTACATACTACATATATTTTCTCAGACACACTCCTTACAACTATGCTTTCTCATATGCCTTCAGGATAACAGTAGTACACTCTTTCACAGTCTTATCTTTTGGGATTGTTTTCCTTACTCATCCTCCCTTTTGATTGTTTACTTTTCACATCTCTTGTTCTACATTTGTACATTTTGCTCCCATAGCCAGACTGACTGTAACCTGTGCTCATTTGTACCTTGAAGTATATATACAGTCTTCTTATCATTTTTTTGTACACCCCTTATGCAATTTCTCCCCTACAGATATTATTGTGCCCCTCAGATAAAATCTATTTTACTTTCAGAACTCAATTTAGTGACCTTGCCCTGTTTAGGTGCTTGCCCCAGAAATACCTTTACACTCAGTGTCCTCAGAGCTCTGCTTTATTTACCACCCTCATAGTCTCACTTCTTCCCCTGTAGGTTGATAAGGAACAATCTCATCAGTTATAGCAGTCTAAGAAATAGATAGAAATTAGCCACACCTCTTCTTATTTTTCTTAGTGTAACCCTCTCTCCTCAGCATTAGTCTCAGAGGGCAGCCTCATCAGCACTCATAGCTTAACTTACATTACTAGTAGTGTAGTTTGCTATTCCCCTCTAAAGCTCTGTTCTGGTTGTTCAGCAGTTCCACAACGGTCACAATCCTCAGTGATTGAATAGACCCATTCGAGTAGGGATCGGTTTTCGGCATCGTCAAGTATGCCTCGGAGGCCAAACATGCTTACTTCGGTCGCTGCAGTCATGATTCGATCGAAAACCTTCTCCTTGAAGAGTTGAAAGCACATATCCTCTTCATGGAGTGCAATTTCAAAAGCGGGGACATTGGGATTTACAACCTCATACCCTCTGTCCGGCGAGGAGGGTTCTGAGGGATGACGGTCAACAACTAACATATCATTGATCGCTATAGATAATCTAATATGGACTACGGTCTTCACTACAGGTATAGGAGTGAACTCGGTTGGATTGGACTCAAGCTTAATTTTCGGGATACTGGTGGCCATGTCGATGTTTGAAAATATGATGATTGTAACACTGGAGCAGAGGAATGAAGAGTAGGAGATGCAAGGCAATGAGGAGTTCCAACACTCGGAATTGTATTAGATCACCCTGAAAGTTAGAAATGGCAAGATTCAGGATTTCCAGCATCACACCCATGAGTTGAAAGGAACATGATTTGGGTTTGCCCTGGATTTGTCGGAATAGATAATGGAAGATCTTGCATTCCACCTGTTTGTCACTTCAATCTACATCTTTTGGGTGGCAGACTGGCATGATCTGGAACGGTGATAGTATACTCGTTTGTCATGCAATCTAAATTATCAATTACAACAGTAAATTACACGATTGGTGTTGAAGGAATCTCCGGCGACCTGGCTGGAGTATCTTCAGCTTGCAGACCTGCATGATCAGGAACAGTAATCACTCCCCAATTCTCCAACCCGGCTTGACAGACATCGAGCCAGTGTTCTGGTGTTACCGGGTTTATCTGCAAGTCCGCCAATCGTTGATGGGCCTCGGGCGCATGCAAAGATGCCGAATTCAGGATAAAGCTGTTGTCCCCAATATGTGTGACTTCAGGCGTTTTGACAGTTGTATTCAATCTTTCGATTTTGGTGCTCCTTGTGTTGCCGACTTGACAGTTGGCCGAATGACAGTTATGCTGTAGATTTAATGTTGCCTTGATTGCCTGCAAAATCAAATTTAAATTGTTTTATCATTATCTTTGCTGGATGCACCATACAGCAAAAACAAACTCACATCCGATTGAACAGATCGAGTTTGGTTGGTCTTGTCAAATTGCCTCATCTCATAGAAGGGGGGAATTCTTGATCGGTCCAATTTGGTAAGATGAACAAAAAAACTTTCCCCAACGCGCCAGATGGAATTGACACGTCCAATGTACTCATGTTCATTCAGTGGTGATCCAACCTTAAGCATAACAATGATGCATAATATCAAAAATAGGACAAAATCATGTGGTGGGAGGGAAAAAACATGCGTACCAGAACAAAGCTTTTGTTTACTACAACCTCATGTGCATTTAATTGCAGTTGAGAAATCTGCCGGATTGGATCATTAGAAAAGTGCTCTTTGAGGGAATTAAAAAAATCAACCACCTCTTTTTCACTCAATATTGACCGCTTTTGATATGGAAAATTGGTTATTGGATTGGAATTTTCAGAATTGTATCCAAACGACTTCTGAATGATAGGATTGTCACTGAAGAAACTGAGGATTTTTGGCGAACATTGGGAGATTGTCTTGGTGATTTTGTTGTACATGATCCCCCCTGACAAGAGAAAGCGCAAACACTGATAATTAGAAAAGCTGTTGGCAATATCTCGTCCGGGAGCTTGCTTGTTGGAGTGTGTAGATGCATTTCGAAGAACACCGTTGAAGGACTCGAATTTCTCAGTGGCAAAAAGGGGTGCGACACCAAATCGTTCGATGGATTCCGGAAGGTGAAATAGCATGTGAAATTTTGGTTTATTAATCCATTGAGCCGTGAATTTGATCAGATGTGACATGAAGATCTGAATATGTTGCTTCAACTCGTATAGATAGGATTCCATGTGGCTGATGTGTGTTTGGAAGATGTATGATGAGAGTCGACAAAGGGCAAGCCAGAGGGATCTCTCTTCTTGATCCATGAGGGGGAAGAAGATGAATGGCACAGCCTGAAGAAAAATTTTGAAATCTTTACCGACCAAAGATTTTGAATGATTTATGAGGTAAAATGGTTTAAGAAGAGGTATGTTCAATGAACTGGTATTGAAAGATTGCAATCGGCCAGTCAATTCCGCGAGTTTCTTCTTATTTTTACCTTTCTTGAGCCGCTGCATGAAATCCCTGATGAGATACTTCACAACACCAAGCAAGAATACATGCAAGATCTCAACTGGAGTATCTGTGCAGCCATTGAAGCCTGTTCCAATAAAAACAACCACAAACCAAAAGATAGTAAAAAAAATGAGCAATCAGGTAGCCTGGTAGGTCAACAACACAACCTATTAGAAAAGATTAAATACCTTGAAACTTGAAGAAAGGATTGAACATATCTGTTGGATCGGTTTTAATAAGTTCACCGGCCTTCTTTGTCACAACTGGTGACTTGCTCCTGATCCCATCAATAAATTTATTGTTAATCGAATCGGTAACGCCATAGATAAGCCGCAAACGCTTCACTTCGGTGATGTTAACCGTGAGGTACGTGTTGAACAGGTTGTATGTGTTCTCGATGGTTTTTTCCCACTGGCGTGGCACGTTGGGAGAATGAAATCCATCGGAGTCCAGCTGCAAAAATTGTAGTAAATAGGATAGTGATCGTTTGTCTAGCTTTGATGGGGCGTGTAAATTGCACATTCGACAGGGATTCAGAGATGTCCCAGGGTTGGGGGTGGCGGTGATTTCGGCGTGCATAGGGGAATCGGCTAGGAAGAACAACATCATGCTCATTATCAAAACAGGCTGTGAAATGGAAGCGTCGTATCCATCAAATCCATCTAAAAGCATTTCACTGGGTGTGAGAAGAGCAGGAGAACATCAGTATAAATTGATCAATTTGGAACTCAATCAGAGGATTACACACTTGGATTCTTTCACAATTTGATTTGCAATTTCTAAAACCCCTGCGCGGTTAGAAGTAGACAAGAAGTGACAATTGTACTCTTGATTAGTCAAATTTGGTGGAAGGCCAGATAGAGTAAAATAAAAAGAGATATGTTTGTTAAATTGTTTGGAAACATTTCCTGAGGTGTCATCAGAATACATGGTTGTTGGTATGTGTCGAATGATTCTACCATTAGCCTTGATGCGCCAAGGGTTTGGGAGGTTAACTTTGGTGCAGGGAAGATCGCCAATGTTGGTCTCAAACAATTGGATGGTAGAAATGTTTGATGAATGGGTACTACTGCCAAAAGATAGGTGAGAATGATCATTTTTGAACTGATTTACTGGGATGCTGAGTAGATTTGGATCATTGAAAGATATGTCAGGAGGAATGAATAATCTGACTGCTTCTTGATTGAGAAAGGTGATTTGGGGAACATAGCACTTGGAATATAGTTGAAGGTTGATTGTGTAGAAGAAAATTGGCACAGCAATTAAATTTTCAAAGGTTTGCATAGGCTCAAAAATGTAGAAATGGTGGTCATTGTTTGTACACATCTGAGGCCGGAATTCCTTGGGAAGATATTTCAGCCATTTTTGAGATTGGCTTAATTTGAAAATACCACAACCATTGGACTCTTGGGGATAAAATTCCAAATGTGGCGCCACAAGCGGGTTGGCAAGTTCCTGAAAAAAAAAATTCATCAATAAATAGATAAGCTGAGTTGTTTTGTTTCAGTTTGATTTCCTATGCCTATGTATGAAGAGCTCACATTTTTCAGGATTTTTTTAATGCCAACAGAAGCACACGGCGTGCCCCAGACACTGTTGGAAAATTGGACTTCCATTTCCAGATGCTTGCGGATCCGTTCCTGTGCCCGGCGAATGGTGGACCAGGCTGGAATTTTGATCTGGCAGAGTATACGAAAAATCACGCGAATTTCGTCAAAGACATCCCGTGAAAGAATGTGTCGAGTATATCCAATCAAAAGGGATCCAACAAGTTCCTACAAGGAACCAACAGGAATAGTAAGTAATCCCTTTAATTTATCAATCACAGACAGGAAAAGATCAACTAACTAACCATCTTATTTTTGAAAGGGTACCACTCGTTATCGTTGGTTGAATTTGCCTCATCGTCTTCGTCGTCATCATTTGGATGCTCTCCCGGTCCATCCATGCATTCAGCGTCCATCTCGTCATAAAGCCAATCCATTCGATCATACTCTTCTGGAACACCGGCTCGCTCCTCCGTGAGATCAAAGAAATCCTCCGAAGTCATCCCTCGAATCAAATCTAAAGCTCTTCTTAATTCACGTGCGTGGACTTCCTGCGCTTCTTGATTGCCATTGGCCACGTCGACAGGGTTTTCCATCTCGTCTTCCATAACCTCATTATCTCGATTGTGGTTGTCCATTCCGTCTGAACGAGGGTCCTCTTCTTGGATTGGTGTGCTAGGTTCAGTTACAGTTGCATGGATCGTACTAGTTTGTCGATTCCGATGGTTCCGAGATCTTGCCTGAGTCAGTTTCCTCTGATGCGACTCCAAAGAACGATGGATTCGGATTCGTTTTTCGGACATTCGACGAAGCCCGCATGTGTCACATGTGAAGAGATGGGTGTTTGGCACTCTGGTAAAACCTGTGGATTTTGGAGTCAGTTAGTTATCTGGTATGAGAATAATGTTTGTCAAACAAAAAAACCTGCTTACCTTCCATCATTTGAAACACGCCAATAGTTTGTCTTAGTCGTTTTTTCTGACTTAATCGGGCGAGACGTGGACTTGGCAGCTGCAGAGTCAACCAACGGTGCTTCAAGAATGGATCCGTCCTGCTGACAGTCTGAAAACGGTTCCGTTGTCACCGTTCACCGGTCAGTCACAGCATCTCGGGCTTGCAGTCACAAACTCACCGTCAGGCAATCGGTTTTCCGACTTTCAGCATCCATCCCTTTACCGGTTGACTGCAGTGCTTGAAGAATCAGCTGATGGATCGATCCTGCTGACAGTCTGCCAACGGTTCCTATGCCACTGTTTGCCGGTCAGTCACACCACCTCCGGCTTTCAGTCACAATCCCCGCCAGCCAAACGTGACTGTTCAGTCGACTCACGGCGGTCAGACCCTCAAGTTGGACAAGTCAATGAATTGCGTTCTGCCGTTGGATGCTGGTCACACCAACGATTTGGTCATGCAACTGATGGAGACAATGATTCTCGTGCCGCTGTTCGATGCCGGTCAGACTAACGTCTGCCGATGAACCACGTTCCACCGTTGGATGCTGGTCAGATTAACGCTTTTGTCAAGCCACTCGACTCTGATCGGATGCTGATCAGACCAACAATTTATTGCAAGCCAATTGCCGCTGATCGATCTCGTCCCCCCATCTCTGAATTCCCCTTAAAACGCACTGCAACTTCACCTTTCACCTCCCTCCTGTCCTCAAATTCAATTCTCCAACCAAACAACATACTGACCAGTTTCTTCCAGACCACCATGTCACACACAATCAACCAACACCATGCGGCTTCCCGTAGTGTTTTACATCCCCAACAAAGGGGGGTCTCTTCCCACATGCCCCCACCGAGCCGCCCAGCCTCACAACAGACTGCTCGTCCTTTTTCTACCGTCCGTAGGTGCACTTCCCTCTTATACCCCTTCAGACATCTCATGTATCCATAATTCCAACCCATGATTCTTTGCTAGTCCCCCCTCACATCAATGCGCGCCATACTCTCCCAGTGCCCAATCCCGACCCCGTCTACGCCCCTCCCCAAAGCTATGCATCTGCTCCAATCAACCCTGCTGATTATTCTAACAGTACCGGTATGGTCGATCATCCCAATGGTGTTGGGGTTCCGGTTCAATATACTAACCGTAATTTTCAAGCCAATTTGGGACTTGATGGCCGTTCCGGTGCCGAAACCGTACCTGGCTACAGCGGCAACGACTCTACTCATTATTATCTCCCAGGAGATCACGATGACCTTCCAGATGTCCTCTCTCCTCCTCGATCGCCCCCAGCCACAAACGAGCAAACCAGCGAAGTCAGCTACAGTCTTGATCATCAGGCCAATCCCCCTGCAATCCGCCCCGAGGTCGATCATGCCAGCTTACAAGCGATTTTCCGCTTGTCTGAAGCTGACCTGAACCTTGCAAAGTCTATTCTTGTTGTAAGTACTCCTCTTTACTGTCAGGCTTACTCCATATTCACTGGCCATTATTTTCCCAGATGAGCGAGGCAAACATCACGGGAGCCATTGTCTATGGGCTTGTTGCCCAACGACGAGTGACTCATGAGAACCTTCCTGGCAATCCGACCCAACCCGACGAGGACGAGGTTGTTGCGCCGGCTGACCCCCCTGTCCCAAATGAACAAGTAGATGTGAGGAACTTCTTGTATAGCGACTACATCAAGGTAAGTCAATTCATTGTCACTTGTCCGTCTTTCACTTTTACTCACTCGTCCGTTGTGTTCCCTTGTTCAGGATGAGATCCGTGACTTTATTCGCCGCAAGATGATCGAATCGCGAATGGTTGCTTACAGCCGCCACTTGGATGACGATGGTGTTGCAGAGCCGCGGGCCTTGTTGACCATGACTCAGGTTTGTATTAGTTAAAAACATCATCTGGATTGAACCACCCTCATCTGATCTTCATTCTTTTGTTTTACAGGCTCACGTTGCGAGCCTTCCTGCCCACATCAGAAGACAGCACCTTCCCCCTGGATTTGGCGCTGGGAACAATCATGCACGTCGAAGCGTACTCCAGTTGGTTCGCAATCTTTTGAAGCATGATCGAGTTCTTCTTCGCAACATGGTCAGTTTTCCTCCTTTCGCTCCCAAGTCCGATTTCTCTTGCTGATCTACAGTGACCCAGTTACTTAAAAATATTATAGACACCAGCCACGCAAGGGTTCGCGCGGGGGGTGTCCCTAGTCTTCAGATGCTGTACACCTCGGTGAGTAACTCCTCATGTACTGCGAACCCCATTCAACTACTCACTGACCATTTTCTTCAGATCCACACCAATTTCCTTGAAAATAGTGGAGTCCACGCGCCCCGAGTCAACTGGGCAATGTTGCCCATGCGCATCAAGGTGCGGTTTGCATACCTCCGATTGGAGACCGCGGCGCACACCTTTAGGAATTCTCAACGGCATGGGTCCCAATGGACACCCATCGATGAGCAATTGGCCCTCTTGACCACTAAATCAATGGACTATGTACGAGCGTGCGTAACGAACAGATCCATCTTGTTTCATCTTAAGCTGATTCCTTGGGTGATTTCAGGTGGGCAAATGCAATTATCGCGTTGGATTCTCAAATCTTTGGCACTGGTGGTGTCGTTTTCGCCGATGTGCGTCATTTGGTCGAGCTTCCAACTGACGAGGCAATTCAAGACACCCTTGTAACCAACGAATTATTACCCCCTGCCGAGCGCCCCCAACAACCGGTGATGGAAGACGATCTGTTCAATATGGACGCCTGATCTCTTATGTAGTACATCCTCCCTCGATTATTCAATCCTCGGGATCCTCATCAGCGCTGCTCGATGCACAGCGCAGAACCTCCTTATGTCTTTTTCCCCTGTTATCACCAATCGGTACTTGAAGACACTTGTCCAGGTCGGGGCTGCAGCAAATGCAGTTCCATTTGACGACCTCATTTTCTCTTATCAACTCATCCGGACTGTGACTCATTAGCCCCTAAATCATGTACACAAGGAGCCAGCTATAGACCATACATCCCTTCATGTACAGTAGATTGTCGAGTCATGTTTTTTCACATCATTTCACATTGTTTGTAATGCCTGCGATCCCGCTCCAGAAGCCTCAATAGAAGACCTACATGCATAATTCTCAACCTGTTCGCTTTCCCCCCCCCCCTGCGCCTAAGCCTATTTCACACGGATCAAGTGAAAGCGATCCAAAAATGAGAATAATTCTCGGTTTCCAGACCGGAAAAAGAGAATTCTACACCACCGGGCCACTTTTTTTTATTAGGACCATTTGCACAACAGTTCCACTTTTTGACCAGTTTTTCAACTGGATAAATGCCAGAAAACTGTTGGAAAAACTCAACCATTTTAAAATTGGTGGTTTGAACAGTTGTTCAACCGATTTCCTGTGAACCGGTTTCATAAACCACAGCACTGAAGCCAACTGTTAGGCTCCTGCTTTGTCAACCAATGACCAACCAATACTATTTAAACATGATTATTCAGTCTTCTGAGAACCCACTGAGGGCAAGCTCCCCAAGCAGATTGTTCCAGAAAAAAAAAAAAAAAAAGTCAAAAATGACTTGGTCATTTTTTTACTTTTTCTTTGTTCAACGGTCAGGCTTGAACCCGGGTCAGCTGTGCCTTGGTATATGGATAACATACTAACTCATGCTGCTAACAATGTTGTATGGACTTGCAGATTGTTCATTTCCATTGCAACAGGCTGGGTATCCCCCTGCCCACCAGGCAGTTGTTGCTACTGTGGCCGATGGTCCTGCTGCTGCTGCTGTGCATTACTTTTGCTGGTGGGTACCCTGGGAGAAGACCCCCTTGGGTCTTTTGAGTAAACCAACGGAAAAACACTTGTCCAACGGTGGGCCAACAGCTTGGTTGGACCAACAGTTTTCCAAACACACATGATTACCAGATTCCAACGGTTGCCACTGCAGGTGGTGAAACCATCAGAAAAACGGCTCCGCAAACCTCCAGCTGCCGTTTGGGTGAGCCTGTGGTGTAGCGGATCACTCTTCTGGCCTGGCCGTCCCGTCTGGTTTGCTGAAAGGCAAGACAACGTTGGGATAACGTTTAGTCCAGGCAAAGGGCTAACCCTTCTGAGGACTTCTTAATCCTGACATGATGACGTTCGGTGTAGGCCCGGAGAACCATGTGTTCTTTCGACCTCAGGAAACTGGCGCCTCGTCGTTCCCATCAGGCGCGAGGTCGCAGATTGCTCACCAACGTCCTCGCAAGGCTAATCAGGCATTCTCTCCAAGCCGAGAGAGGCGAGCATCTCCTCAACCTTCCCAAACTGGCGCCTCGTCGTTCCCATCAGGCGCGAGGTCGCAGATTGCTCACCAACGTCCTCGCAAGGCTAATCAGGCATTCTCTCCAAGCCGAGAGAGGCGAGCATCTCCTCAACCTTCCCAAACTGGCGCCTCGTCGTTCCCATCAGGCGCGAGGTCGCAGATTGCTCACCAACGTCCTCGCAAGGCTAATCAATCGCTCTTCACGGGCGCAAGGACACAGGCGTTATTACAACGGTGTGTGATTGCTCTTTCGACCTTCTGTCGGTCCTCTCACGAGTCTACCCACGTCGATGTGTCACCCGCGAAGGGTCGTCAGGACGTTGTCTGAACCCCAACCACGCCAACCACATCTTTCGATGTAATTTCTGACCGCGTTCGAACGTTGCCCCCTGCGGAAGGGGGCAACGTTCGAGGAACGCTTTTGCGCGGGGTCAACAGAACGTTCAGCTGCACCTGTGGTGTATAAGCAGCATGCTCATGAGGTAACATTCCTCATCGAATACGATACAAAATCTATTTTACAAAAGAAAACCCGAGTGTAATAACACTTCCAGCTTAAACCTAACATACTGTAAGGGCCCCGTTACAGAACGCATACATCCAGAAAACAGATGGCGGATGAATTCCGATATTGGTTGATTTCTTCCCGTTGGCTTATCCAATGGAGCTCTGATTGGTCACGGTCAACTTTGTGTGACGTCATCTCTCGATGGGCCTGTTGGTATTATTCAGAGCAACCGAAGAAACGGTCAAGAAGGAGTGGAGCCTATCAACCACTCCAGCTTCCTCTCAGTCTTGAGGATACAACGCAGAGAAAAGTACCAGCTCTGGTTCTCGTCGAACTACCCTCTGTCTCATATCCTTTCCCCTGTTCCAGTGATGGGAAGGTCTGACAATAGTCAAGTAAATGGTGACCAGATGTTACCACCACCGTTGAGAAAAAGTGTGATCCCACCCTCGCCAAAGCCCTCGGCGACCAGAAAACCTTCCATCTCTCGACAATCTATCCCTGCCGACTTTTCAGCTTCTCCAACGACTCGAAGCCGTCTTTACAACCCTCAAGCTTCCTTTGGATCACCAAGCGGCCCAGGCCGTCAGGCCAGTGGCCGCTCCGCTGTCAGGAGAGGTACTGAAGAGGGTTTCCCGCCGGATATCTTTGATGGTAAACAAACATTTGCTCGTCGTCATCTCGTCATACTTAAAATGAAATGCGACAAAAATAATTACAACTCAAGACATTGACTCTTTTTCTCTCTGTTCCTTCAAGATCATGGATTGTTCAAGGATCAGGAGATCAAGAAGGGACCGAGAAAGAGGCCTCTTTTCGGGAACCCTGACCGAAAAAGTAAAAGACGGCTCGAAGAAAATAATAGCGAAACGGCAGAAAAGGTATGGTCTGAGACATCTCCAGACAACTGGCCGCAGACTGACAAGTTATCCTTTCAAGGAATCATCTCATCACCATGCAGAGGAAGATGCGCCAGCAAGCCGACGATTCTCAGTCCTCTCTCCTGGTCGATTGTCTCCCAAATCTTCCAAGAAACGGGGCGATCCCCCCAGTTTTGGGAGAAACTGGCCCATGGCTGAAAAGGTGTATAAAGAGCCCAAGCTTGTCGAGTCGAAGGGTAGGAGTGTTTTTTTCACCTAGGCACCCGCGAATAATCTGTTAAATGCTGGAAAATCCAATCGTGTGTGTTCAAACAGGTAGCCCGGTATTCGGCCATGGCGAAGAGCCGAGCTTAGGATACAATTGGTCCGAAGGTCAAAGGATCGACCGATTGACCACTTCGAATGATATTCAAGAAGGTTCTAGCGAGGGCATTCGCTCGTCGCCGTTTTACGAGCAAATCGAGGACACTGAACGGACGATTCTTGGTCCCTCATCCTCTCCAGAAGTGGAAAAAGATAAGGGAATGATAGCCGGTCTGACTGACTTGGATGAAAGCTTGAAGCTTATGCCCGATCCGGGGGAATATCGACCAGGGGCTTATAACTCATTGACCGATGAACAGTGGCACGCCGCCGGTCAAAAATTGATCGAAAAATTTGGCGAAAATGCACAAAGAATCCAGAGGATAATTAGCGCACGGGCCGAACGAATGGTCGGCTATACCACTATGATTTCCGAATATCACAACTTGCTCAGACAACGTCGAGCGGAATTGAAAGACGAACGGAATTCAATTCAAGAAGGAGTTCGCGGATCGATTGCGGGCTACCGCAAGCCACACAAGATATGATTCCCGGATTTCACTATGTAGCTCCGTCGGGAAATTTCATAAGGATGAGTGCACATATTCATCTAAAGAACCGTTTTCCCGACTCCCCTTGTAAACTGGTCTCTTCATCTTCAATCTGTCTTAGCGCCACGATGAATTTCGCGTGAAGGGCCATCCTCTACCCATAAGAAGTTATGTTTTTACACTCCGAAGATCACTAAAGATTGGTTCTAGAAAATTTCAGCGAAGCTGGTCTAGTTTTTCTTAGCTCTGAAATCTACATAATCATGTGGGTGATTTTACCCACGTGTCAAACTCTTCTAGCAATGAGAAGAGTGTCAAGGATCGACGCGTGATTGACCAACACCCTGCATTCAGGCTTCAGAGGATCAAGTGATTTTTTTTTAAAAGTAGATATCACCTCTAGGAAGAGTAAAACTTTATTTTGGTGTATCAAAGGTGTCAGGGACCCAGACTGAACGGGAGCGCCAGGCCAGTTAGCTCAATACGAACTCCCCCCTTCCAAAGAATACTTGGAAAATTAGCTGGATCATAGCAAAACGTAAATCTTATATTTCTATTACATGAAGTTTGTAACAGACATTGTCCCATTTTGAAATTGCGGCTGATTTGCGGATCTTTTACAATACAAATATCTAAGAAAGAATTACTGATCTATGACCATCTAAAATAATATGGCAGGATGCGAGACGGGTGAGATCGACTTTCAGAGCCAATCCAATAGCATGGGGGTGAAGTAAGTGAGTATCAGAGTGGCACCAGCACGAAGCATGCAATCTAAACTCTCGAAGACCATAGGCTTTAATTCATACACCCCGGCGTCCGCACCGGCCAAGAGGGCAGCATATTCTCCTGAAACCTGATAACAGGCTAACGGATGAGAAGGTGCCAAGGATCGGGCCTCGGAAAGTACGTCAAGATACATCTGAGCCGGCTTCACCATGATGATATCCGCTCCTTCCGAAATATCTCGAACCTAGGCCCCTCCGAAGTTTTATCAATATCAAGAATTCAGACATTGTGAAAACTCGAATGGCAAAAAGGTACTCACGATCGCTCGTCTCGCCAGTCCTCGAGCATTGGGCGGCAGTTGATATCCCTTGCGGTCCCCGAATGATGGTGCTGAACAAGCGGCCGCGCTATACAATAATAAATAGTGAAGATGAGTCCTTGTTTCGCAATCCTAATTGTGGGATCAGGAAAGGATGAGAGGACTAACCGAAAGGGGCCGTAGAGTGAGCTGGCGAATTTGGCTGAGTATGACATCAGACAGCATCGATTAGCCAGTCTAGCATCGATCAGAGCCTGTTTGATGGCCCCCACTCTGCCGTCCATCATGTCGCTAGGAGCCACACAGTCTGCACCCGCTCGGGCATAGCTCAGCGCCACGACGGCAATCCTGGCCACTGAGACCGGTGTGTCGATCTCGCCACCCGGTTTGCCTGGCGCAAACCCACAATGACCATGCTCCGTATATTCGCACAAGCACACATCCGCCGCCACAAATAGAGTCGGAAACTTTAACTTGAGTAAGCGTATGGCTGAGATAGTCGGACCCGTCTCATCATCTGCTGGCGTGCCTCTGGCGTCCTAATAAAAAAAATGGCGGACCAAGGGGAAGAAAAAAGGGTTAATTCTTTTCTTCTCGGTGGAGCCGAGGCAACCTCACTTTTTTACATTTCATGGGTACCCCAAATAAAATGACTGATCGTAGCCCCTTATCGATCAACGGACGCAGGAAATCTTCGAGTACGTTGATTCCTAAGCTAAACAAACACATCAGATGAGCGAGCCAACCAAAACGAGGAATTGGAGTGTGCAGGTAGATTTACTGATATTGATTTGGAAAAGAATTTATGGGTTGTTTGGCGTCCGGATCGTCGGAAATGAAGAGCGGGAACATCAACATGTCTTTGGTCAAAGATCTTTCAGCCTGTAATATCGTAACCGGTCAGAAAGACAAACATCACGCTCAGTCAGTGTAAGGAGGAGGGGTGATGGCAATAGACGATCTCCAATCCGATTTTCTCGGGATGGTTACTGATGTCTCACCTGGAGTGATCGGGTCAGAGGATGCGCGTATCCTCCCTGAAGGACATGGCTGAGCGGGGTAGCCGTGGAGGACGGTTCGGTGGTCATCTTGCCGAATGCTGGAGTTGATAGAAAACTTGAAGAGTCTGAAGTTGATGAACTGAACACGAATGGGCCTGCAAGTGCACCACCGTCGGCGTTCGAGCTTTGGGGGCTCGACTTCTTAAGGAGGGCTCAGTTCAAGTTGCATATTCGATTTGGCTGACACCAAAGCCCGCCAAATTTACTACAGCCAGAGCATTGCCATCTTGTACACACCACACCACCCTTTCGACTTAACCGATTGCATACATACAACTCTCCTTCATCAAAATGGCACACGTAAGTCACCTTTTTAACATCTAGCACTACGTCCTACTACCGATCAATCGAAGGATACTGATCGATTTTGTTTCGAATTCTATGTTCTCGCTCCTGCAGGTCTGTCAGAATTTGGACTCTTATTCTTCATACCGTGATTCAAGGTCACCGTTATCGTACGAAGATCAACAACTTCAACTATCTCGCTCGTCGACAGTCTACGTGGGGAACTTATCATTCTTTACGACCGAAGAACAAATCTTTGAGCTATTCTCCAAAGCCGCACTCATCAAACGGATCATCATGGGACTCGATCGGAACTCTAAAACGCCCTGTGGATTCTGCTTCGTCGAGTTGAGCTGTCCGATCACAGCAGCATGGAATCGAGAACTGACCAATCTCCAAATCGCTCTCTAGGTATTATCGACCAGAAGATGCATTGGCTTGTTTGAGATACATCTCCGGTACCAAGCTCGATGAACGGGTGATTCGTGCAGACCTGGACCCGGGCTATCTGGATGGCCGACAGTATGGAAGGGGAAAGAGCGGTGGCCAGGTAAATCGAACCACACAATGACATCCCTCTCTCAAAATCAATCAAGTGAAGGTACGGAGTACTGATGGCCCTTCTCACAACAAAAGGTACGCGATGAATATCGGGAAGATTACGATGTCGGACGAGGTGGGTGGGGGCACTTGAAACAAAAACAGGAAGAACGGCAGCGTCAGATGAGGCAGGATGAGATGTATCGTGACGACCATGATGGCGGTGGGAATCGTGAGGTTCCCGATGGGGCTGGTGAAGGGGTAGGGGTTTCTAACTTAACCTCTGATGCTCATGAAAAAGGTCCTCGAAGACACGGTTTTGGAAACCCGAACTAACATCTCCCTGGTTATTGATTTTCAGGGCCCTCGGTTTCGAGAAGACCAAGCAGAGGAAGACGCAGATTGAACCGACCGTTTATCTTCCTTCGTTCTGCTGTGTCAGCCGGAGGTCTTACGCGGCGTTCTTGCTCCCCCAGCCTGTGTCTTTCTTCGGATAGATTGTATCAAAAAAATAAAAGCTATATATATATATATACTGTTATATAGTTCCCTCACAAGAATACAATAAAATAAATCGCATTAAATGAGAGATGGAGGTTGGGTACCTCGGAGGCCTTCTTCTGCAGGATAAGATCTCTTGTGTACGTAACTTGATTATATATTACAATTATTCAACTTGAGCACAGCTCTCAAAGAATAATACATCCTACAAATATCCAGAAATCATTTCTATTTGATGTTTGGGTTGTGATTCCTTCGGGAACGACAATTGCGACCCCCCGGGCAAATCTAAAAAGCAGACAGGAGTCCAGTTCTCCCTGTCCTCTTGTTATGTTTAGATCTAGGGCTTGACCCATTACAATCTGTTTTTTCAAAAGTATATCCACACCATCAGATTATACGTATCACCATCCATTACGTCATTGAAAGGTAGTCACAGAAAAATGAAACACATACCTCATACGGAGGGACATCTTGGGCGCCCCTCAACTAAACGCCTGTAAACTTAGACAATTGTGCCTCTGGTTATTTCGTCGGCGTGCAAAGAGCATGCCCTCTCCTTGTGTGAAGTGCAGCCAATCTCACCCTATGCTCAGGACTCTGATATGTCGTGAAACCATCGCAACAATCCTGGCCGGTCTGCACCGCGGATACATACGCAATTCGAGCTTCGACGTTCAACCTCCAGTCATGGACTGTCGTGGCAAAAATGCCTTTGTAAGAGAGCCACGTCGAGGTCTCCAGATTAATATGGCCAACCACTCGCGCCGGCGACTCTTGGGATTTGGGGCACGTGTCAAAGAATTCCAATATTTGTAGGGAATTTCATGGTAAATGGGCTGTGGCGGCGTGGCCTATGTAGACGATGTGATGATCTATTTGACAAACAATGGTCATTGGAGGGGCTCTGGAGACGTAATGGAGAACAAACGGACTTTCAAAACAGGGTTATCGCGGAGAAAGAGTGCAAGCGGAGAACGCCGGAATCGGTCTTCTTAGGCCATGCCGTAACCGGCGCTTGAGAGGAATTAGAGTCAAAACTAAAAATAAAAATTGCGAAAGATAAGTGTGGCTAACATCCTCCTTCTCAAAACCATTTACGTTAAGAATTCTTGGAAACATGTTCGGCTAGAGGGAATGTAAGCAGCACCTCACACTCACAGAATCCAGAGGTTGAATCCATCGCCAAAGCCGCAGGTTATCAAGGATACAACAACTTCGAGTCCATCGCCCATGGAACTCAAAAGCTCTCAAATCCCAAACAAATTCACTTGGCTCAGCGCATGCCCCCGAACACTTCCGAGGACCCATAGAACAATAGCCAGCTCTGACCCAAACCGATTATGAATCATTCAAGGATTTCAAAGCGCAAGTAACACACGAGGCCGCACTTGAGATATGGAACCGACCAGAGTTTGGTAAGGGTAAAATAATGGAAGAACTCAACTTACACTCTGATCAACACTTCTAGAAGCAGGATTTGCTTTGATTAAATGAAGCATCGGAGTGCGCGACTCGTGCTACCACGAACGTAGCCTATAGAAAACTTCTCGCCAAACATTGTTTCGTAATCTGGCAGACGGGATTCAGTATGGGCCTCTCATTTACATTACGACGGCCTGACTCGAGCCCAGAGACTTTTTCGTCATTGCAGATGGAAGGCGAGTCAACTATTCAACCTTTTGGGGTCCGCTCTCTCTTACTCTCCCGATGGATCTCTGCTCTTGATTCTCTGTCCTGGTCCATACATACATATATTTAATGATTTTTGAAAACATATATTGTAATAGTTTTTTTAATCGATTCGGAGTTCATAAGTCTCTCGAATTCCCCAGCTACTCATTGCGACGACACGCAGAAAAAAAGAGCATATCAGCGCAAACGAAGTATTTCAATCGATCAATATTTCGACTTGTGAAGGTTGTGGGGAAGTCATGGAAATTAAAGATACTTTGGTTCTTTTGCCAGTCTGTTTTTTTTTCTTGACAAAAACGGCTTATCGGAGAGAAATCCTCTTGTTTGCATCTGTTGGTATCAAATCTCCAAACTCTCCTCGAAAGGTAGTTCGATCGGTGGACCAAGCGGAGATCTCGGGCTCGACCAACCCGGTGTTTATAGCAAAGACCAATTCATCATGATCTGAGTCGAACCCATATCGAGTGCTGCCTTCTTATATTACGATCATGCATGCCATCGTATTGGTTCCTTCATATTTTTCCTAGCAGGTTTTCCAAGTACAATAACAAGACAAATCAAACAAAAGGAGTCCAAGCAGCAAAGTAGAAAACAAAACGTTGCTGGGGTTGACTGATGACGAAACAACCTAATCATCCCAATCTGTTATACTTATGGACTGCTTCTATGAAAAAGGCTAATTTCTGATATAGAGGCATGGTTGAAGATGAAAGGATTGATCGGTTGATCGAACGTCTTGACTTGCGCTTCTAGTGCTGGGGGCTTCGGCAGTGACTCATCTATAATTCAGGGATACCAATGTCAAACATGATCGAAGCCTGAAGCGAAGGGAGTCTGATCAGATGCTGATAGTACTTACCACAAGCGCTCCTGGTAAACAGCAGACTGCTGCCCCGATAGGGCAGTAATAGATGCCAGATTTTGACCTCGCTGTTAGGGCGGGTTCCACTTAATTCCACAAGCAGAAATAAAAAAAGCATTAATCGAGTCAGCTGGAAGAACGGTTTGGTCGGTCGACCCGAGGAAAAACTACACTCACGCGTCTCGCTAGGGCCTTCGGTGCTTTGGACGTGGACGACACAAGCGCCCTGGGGATAAGGTGTCTTGCATGGAAAAGAACAAGTGGTAAGCTTGCAAGCCACTGTTATGAAGATGAAAATGGTTGATGTTAAGAGTTGCATGTTGTATGGTTCCAAACTGAGCTAGACGGTCTACGTTCAAGAAAAGCGGTTGATGAAAATCCTGTGGGCACCCCGACCATGATGCTGTCGCTTTATATGTAGGACCAGATTCCATATTCATCCGAGGTGCAAGAATCTGACAGAACTCAGGGCGCAAAGTAGCTTATGTATCAATAGGTGGCACTCAATTCTAGTCTTTTGAGCATTCCAAAGCTTGCGAGGATGGCACAACATACACGTGGATGGGACCTGCAAGTGTAGCCCATGGACCCATGGTACGTGTGTACATACACCGTATCACAATTGTCTATGTGCGCGCCCTGGACCCCAATACATCGCTTCTCATCGGCAGTTCCTTTCATGCGTGCGGTAGGCATGCTATTGCGAAAAGCTAATATCCCCCGGAGTCGATGCCGCGTCCGCACAGAGGCAAGTTTGGCCTCTCCTCTTGCGGATAGAGAGGACAGGCAGGTCAGTCACTAATGGATTGCTCGACAAGCACATCTACTCACTCAAGAGGGGTGTGATCCTTGCGGAACGGCTATCAAGGCAAGCCCTTCAAGATTAGAGTGTCCGACCTCCGAAATCGGAGGGACGCTTAATCCAGGGCGTCTTGCTAGCAATGTCAGGGGCGTAACATTTCGAGACCCCAGAATTGAACCATGGAAATGGAGAATCTTGAATCAAGACCATTCAAGCGAAGCATCATCATTAGACCCATTAATCAAGCTCGAAGCACAAATTCATGTTATCCTTAACGGGTTGTGCTGATCGTGCATCTGAAATATGGCACGATTGACCAGCTGCCCGGCATTGCTGATCCACTACCTCCCAGAATCAGACTAAACCAACCGTTTGGTCCATCAATCTAGAGACTTGACTTTCAGTCATTATATCACCCACCACATTACATAGCTTCCATATCGTAAAGATTTAAAAAGCCCAATCAACCACCCCTACATGAATTGAAAGTGACCTGAGACTGCATGATGCCTTCGATGGGCTCATCAATCAGGGTCGATCTTGTAAAGGTGAGATCATAGAAGCGGGCAATGGATTAGATGCTCAGTGCTTTTTTACGTTTTGCGGATTACGTTTTGTATTCACAAGTAACGAGTTTATTTGTGGTGTAAGTAGGGCTTGAGACTGAGAGCAAGTTAACGGTATTCAATCGATTGTATAACTCCCATCCAGACTATATTTGTCTCCCATACCAAAGAATTAGAAAAAAAAGAGTTTATATGTTTTTTTTTTAGAAATTTAGAAGACAGGAAAGATTGAATGACTATCGAAATTGTTGATGGAATGTTTCTTAGAATCCTTGAGAAATAGAAAAAATGGAACGATCAATGAAAGCTTATGTAAGATATGATTCTCACGGGTGGCCATCTTCCGTTGGATGCTCATTATTGAGCTGGATCGGGGGATTCTGCTTCCTTCTCCGTCGGTGCCGATTCAGTTTCGGCGCTCGGCTCAACAGGGGTCGCCGTATTTGTTTTCAATCTGGCTTGGGCCGCCGCAATCTTGGCCTCTGTTTCCGCGATGCGCTCTTTCGTGACTCGTGCCTGAAATATAAAAAGAAGAAACGCCTCATTTAGTTTCTTCCCTCGTGCAGATATATTTTGATTTGGTGTTTGCCTGACGCTATACATTCAAGAAGGGGTGGACGAACCTGATTCTCCGTAAACCAATTTTTCTTCTCCGACAGCGTCGCGATAGTTTTGACCACGTCCTCTCTGGTCATCGGAACAGGTACGGCGAGGGCGTACAATGCGTTGATAGTGGACAGTGGCAGATTGAGTGCCTGGTTGTTGGCGGGCGCTTCGGTAGCTGGCTTCTTGCTCTTTTTGTTCTTCTTCCCACCCCCCCCACCACCACCCATAAAGAATTCTTCCTCCTCGGCGCCCTTCTTCTTGATGGCTACCATTCCCTCGAACCCATCCTTCCCATCGACTTGTCTGATCTCTTTGATCTTCGGTAGCGTAGTGGAGGCCGTTGATTTGGGGTCTTCCGACGGATTTTCTTCGATCGAGGGCGCATTGCCCATCAACTTGTCAAAATGCAGTATCAACGTTCGGCAATCTTCTATCTCCCGTCCGTACGCTGGTAGCGCAGCTTGTTCTCGCATCTCGATGTGCACTTGCTCTATTTCTGCTTTCTCTTGCGCATCTCGCTCAGCTTTCTGTCGGTCTATTCGTCGTTGCTGGTCTTCCTGCATCTTGGCATCTTCATTTTCAGATTGTTATTTTGCCCCATGAGATATACATCTAATCAGCCGCCTGTCTGGCTTGATTTTTGCTGTGTTGTAGAATGGATTTGACGATACTCACAGTATTTCTCATTAGCCTCCTTGTGACGAGTGGATGATTCCCGCTTCTTGTTGAAAACCTCCGTGAGGGCATCCTGCAGTTTATTCCTCTCTTCGAATAGTTTGTCCCGAGACTTACTCGATTCATCTAGCTGTTCATTGATTTGATCGAGTTCGCGCTTGATTTCGGACCAACGATCATTGGTAGATTTATTATGAGGGTCGTCGAGCTGTTTACGCAGCTCTTCGATCTGTTCTTTCTCAGCTTCGATAAGTTCTTGCTGAGGACCAAAAGCATCGACTAGTTTTCTAGCTTTGCGTAGGTTTTGAATCTCCGTCAGTGCTTTTTTCTCCTCCACTATTCTCATCGTCCCACTCTCGATCTGGGATTCGAGTTGCCGAATTTTCGCATCCACTTCTACTGATGATTTATAAGGCAACTTCGCTCGGTTTGCATTCAACTCCTTAATCTATCCTCAATCATCAAGGATGTTTTGATTTGCGAATTCATAATGTCAGTAAGCTGTTGTTTACTAGCAAGCACGGCAGCATCACGCAGCATGCAAAAAGTCCATATTGAAATATTAAAAACAACTCAATGAAGCTGCAGCTGACCTTACGCTGAACACTATCATTTGCAGCTTTGATCTGATCCAGAAGCTTGCCTCGAGAAGATTTCCCTTTTGATTGCTCCTGCCTAAGGGCATCCATTTCATCTCGCAAAGCCTTACGACGAGCGACCAAGGGACCATGGGAACCTCCAGTCTTGGGGTCTCCGATTTTCAAACGCAGTTCAGACTGATGTTTGGGTACCCGATCGTGTGAGGGATCATTTTCCGAGAGATTATGAGAGATTAGCAACGTTGTATGCTTAGGAGGTATAAGATCGAAGTGCGAAGATACTGACGATTTCACTTTGCAGTCTATCGATCTCCCTCTTGTACTGGTCTTGTTCCTGTGAATATGCATCCTTGCTAGGCCTGCCTCCACTACTACCAGCAGGTGTGCCATTGAGATGTTTATCGATATTCTTTGGTCGATTGGGAATGGAAGCTGCCTTAGCTGAGACTGTTGCTGATTTGGGAGGCATGTTTGGTCACGAGAGATCAAGACAGTTGTTTGTATGGGGAGTGGTGGATGGTATGAAGCACTCGGGTGGGTGAGGGAGGTGGAGGTGTTTCTTGGGGGAAAGTTGGCTGGAAAGTGAGGGACCGCTGAAAAAAGTTTGGGGTTGTCTCGCCCCACCCCCGGTTGCTCTGGTTTCACCGAGACCGCTTGCTACCGGAGCATTGGCCCCCGTCGCTTGAGAATCCACGGGGGGTGGCATTTCATCGGAGTGGGGCAACCCACAGGGGCAAGAATTCTACTGGGGCCGAAATTTGTTTCAGCTCAAAAAACCTTCCACAAAACGGCATATTTACACACTATACCTACTCACCTGCCCAAATCCTCCAACCTCCTGGTCCTATTCCTCAAGGATTAGAGATGGTCGGTCCGCATCCGGATACCCGTCCGGATGCGGATATCCGATGGCAATTTCAGCGAAATTGCACATCCGCATCCGCACCCGCACCCGCTAGCGGGTATCCGTCGGCCGCAGCGGGTATCCGAGCGGGTATCCTCGGATACCCGCCCTCTAAAGGGCCGGCGACGGACCGGCTGGAAGGGTTTCCTTCTAGCCGGCCATCTCCCCTCCTGGCCGCGGGTATCCTTTGGGATACCCGGATACCCGCCGGCGATTTGCGGAAAAGGGGCCATCCGCACCCGAATCCGCACCCGCTGGCGGGTATCCGTTGGCACAGGCGGGTATCCGCCAGCGGATAACGGGTATCCGCGACGGATACCCTTCGACCATCTCTATCAAGGATGTATGTACCCATACCTTTTGGAATGTAACTTGAACCCTCCCATCAAGTAATACACTCAAGCCAACAATTAAAATTTATGCAGCAACACCCCTGACCACTTGGAATTCTTCTCATATCTTGAATCCAATCAAATTGCACCAACATCATATTTTCTCCTTCTGATTTCATACTCTCTTTTTTTCTCATCTGGGTCAAATCCTGAGTCATAAGTGAGTCTTGAATATCATCTGTAGTTGTACAGTCAACTCTGCTGTAACCCATACTCTTATTAACCCATACTCTCCAATAAGCCATAGTAAAATGGTCCACCAAATCACTAATTTTAGTGTAAAACCCTCTTCAATAATCCATACTCTCTACTAACCCATAGCAATTTGTGTCCACCAAGGGGCATGGGTTAATGCAGAGTTGACTGTATTTACAAACCTATTTTCATATGTATTGAATATTCAGGCCCAACTTTGCTTCCAGAAATGAAACCCATAGGGGGATAAATCCGTAGAGTCAAAACTCAGTATGAGAATTGTGAAGCCCCCTTTGGTTTGTGGGATTCACACCGTGAATGGTTACAGATTACAGAAGCTAAAGTGTTCCCTTCATCCTGATCAACTCACACTTCCTAGCTCAGTAGAGGTATATGACGTACTACACTCTGAGCTGGGTGAGCACTACCCATTTCTATCTCCATCTATTTATTCCCTCTTGTTTCTCTTCTGTTTTCCTCCTTAGTGGTAAGGGGGGATATCTGACATACTACTCTCTGAGCTTGCTTTTGAATGAAATAAAATTAAAGTTTGGTTTAAGAACTCTCTCCAAGACACCTGTCTGGCACATTTGGATAGTGAAGAGCCTCCAGCTCCTACAAGCATGCACCAAATTTGACAAACATGACTTTTGGCAAAAATGCACCACTGCAATGCACTTCAATAGCAGCAAATGCTTTTGGTGGATCCCAAAATTCTAGAGACACAAATGGCACATTGTTATCTGATAATATTTGTGAGTGTTTCATTTTTTTTATTTCAATGCTGGTTATTATACTCACCTTCAAATAACCAATGAATCAGATACAGAAGCAGTTATTAGGTGCATCTCTTCTGTTTTAGTAATGCAATACACTAACAAACTGGAATGAACTCAAGTAAAGCCAGAGATAAAAATGAATAACAATATCAATAAAAATGAATGACAATGAATGGCAGGATTATGTGTATGATAAATAACAGTAAAGATAACATCAAGTGTTGCACAAAAAAACATTGAAAATTACTTTTGATCTAAACAATAAAAAGCCTTTGTAAAACAGTGCTCAATTTTCTAGAAATCTCAATAAAAAGATAGTGAGTATATTTTTAACAAGAGATGCACATGTTTGGGGGAGTGTGTAAACCCCCTCCCTCCTTTGTCAGGGTTTCACAAGATTAGAAGCTAGATGTCACAATACCTCTAGTTTTCCGTCTCAGTGTTTCCTTCCTGGCTCAGCAGAGAACTGATCCCTACTTCTCTCTGAGCCAGGTGAGTTTTCCTTTTCTATCCTCATTTTCCTTCTTTTGTGTTTCTTCCATTCAGATTGTACAAGAGAGAACTGATCCCTACTTCTCTCGGAGCCAGTAATAAAAACTATCCTGTTTGGTCTTAGAAATATCTGGTTTCTGCCCGTCCCTCGAGCCTCCTTTTCCTCTTTATCCGGTGAAGGACTTCCAGTCCTTACAGAGTGGAGGAATTCTTGTCACTTCTGCATCCCCTACAGATATCAATTCTGTCCCAAAAGGTCCATTTTTTGTGGGAAAATATGTTGGAATTTGGAATTTGTGTCTATGACCAGTGACATCCCTGTGAATCTTGTGAACAAACACACTGACTCTCACAAGGAGGAATATGCTTAGACCTGGCTCTTTTGGATCCCTTTCTCATCAGCTCACTGATCTTCTGCCCTTCCTTGCACAAACATCCTTTCTCAACTTTTTTTCTCTTCATACTCAACATCTTTGACTTACATTGACTCACTTCCTTGACTTACATTGACTCAAATCTCCCTCCTCTCAAACTCCCTTTCTATTTCTTTGTTTCCTTTCTTCTCTTTTTCTCTCTTTCTTTTTTACTTTTCTCTCTCTTCAATCCTCTCCTTGATCCATTCAAAAACTTCAAAAACACCAAACACATTGAGTCAACAACCTCATCACATTGACTCAATTCTTTAGTTATCTTTCCTGAAGACCCCAAATTCCTCTTCTCAATTTGGCTAGAAAATACTTATCCACTTGTCCTCAACTCCCGACTGACCAAATATTTTCTTTTTCACTTCTCTTTTTCAGTCCTCCTGTCCTCTACACAATAAGTGTTTTAGCCTTTTTTATAGTGTTGAAAATCTCATCTTTTACTCATTCCTCTCTCACTATACTTCCTTTAAATTACACCCAGCTGATCAGTATCTTCATCAACCATTTATCTCTCCAATATAGTCTGATATCTTGTTGTGTTATGCTGTCTGACCCCCTAGCTTGTAGTCAAGAACCCTGTCTAAGGAGGGCTTATCATCTCTCACATAAAATCTCTTATCTTCTTGGTTATGATGATTTTGGCCCAATGTTTTTTCATGTACCTCTGAGTGGTCCATTTTCTTCTATTCATTATTCTTATTCAAAATTATTCTCACCCACAAATTGATCACACTTGTAATTAGTCTACTTAAATCAGCTGAATAAAAAGTAATGATCATCATTGGTTCTCCTCCTGACATGAGTTTGATCACCTTCTTGGCTCCCTCAAAAGGTGACACCTGAGTCTGTTCAAAAATCTTCTCTTCCTCTCTAAGCTCAGAATTCCAACACATAGTATTAAAACTATCTCACTGAGTACATTTTCATCCATCTTCTTATACCTTTTTGTTAATTATATTTCTTTGTTGTTTCTAACTCTTCTTTATTTTTGGGCCGGTACAGCTCTTGGCAGGAAATCTTCCAGTATATGTATTGTCTTGAATGCACTAACTGCCAGTGTAGCTATCATTGGAGACAAAGAATATAACCGTTGAATGATCACAAAATGAGTTACTGATAATTCAATTTAATCCTAAGGGATGGTCCCGAACCTCAGGATTCCGGGCTGCCCGGGTCCCGATCCCCAGGGTTCAGGAATCGGGATGAGCCTCACAAAACCCCAAAACCCCGGTGTAGGACTCCTGTGGGACAAATGGAAGATATTTGAAATGGCAGTTCCGTGAGGGGGAAATAAATTGTGGAATAGGTTGAAAGGCTATAGATCACAACTTAAGGGTGGTTTGAAAGACCTGCCCCTCTATAGTACTATACAAATATGTAAGGAATCTTAAAATCAATATTTATAAGAGTGTGGCAGATTTCAAGATAGAGTTACTAAGTATAGTAGTCTCTATCAGACCTATATCAATCAATACAAAAATGTGCTAGCAGATGGCTCAAGATTAAGAATTTGGATAAAGGAGCCCAGTGGAGCAAATGTTAAAGGGGTATAATTGGGATTGATGGTGTGAAAGGCACCAGTGGGTGTGATCACGTGAAAAGGGATAATAATAGAAAATAACTTAGATGGTGGAAATGACTACTGACAACTACTGCAACTAAGGTTTGTTGTTGAATGATTAATACTACTAATGGGTTTCTGTAAATAATGATAAGAGGGTTGTTGGTTGCTCAGGGCTTACTAATGATAAATGATGTAGATTATTACTAATATTAATTTGGGGATGAGGGATGTTATAATGAGGTTTGTTGTTAAATGATTCTACTAACTTTGTTTTCTGATGACTACTAATGTTACCCAATAGCTACTAAACTACTAATTACTAATCACTACTAATAATTACTGACACTCCAGAACACTTCTGGTAGCTCAGGATCAACTACTGCTCTAAGAGACTGTGTGGATGATGGGGGGAAAAAGTCTGAGATGAGGGGAGAGAGTGCCTCCTTTTATATTAATTTTTGAGGGATTTTTGCTGCAGGGGGACTCCCTTAGTGCCCTGGTTTTGCTGGTGCACTTTATGTTGTTAGGTATGTGTAATCTGTTGCCAGGTAATTAAGCCTTCTTCTTGGTTGTAACCAGACAACAAGCCTCCGTATCCATGATGTGATGTTATTTGCTGTGTAGCCAAGCTTCCGTATCCATGATGTCATAGTATCTTCTGTGTAACCAAGCCTCCGTATCCATGGTGTAAGAATATTTGCTGTGTAGTCTAGCCTCCGTATCCATGATGTCATAGTATCTGCTGTGTAACCAAGCCACCGTATCCATGCTGTCCTAGTATCTGCTGTGTAACCAAGCTTTCCGTATCCATGATGTCATAGTATCTTCTGTGTAACCAAGCTTCCGTATCCATGGTGTAAGAAGATTTGCTGTGTAGCCTAGCCTCCGTATCCATGATGTCATAATCTTTCCTTGGAGACCTCCTTGATAGTCAGCTGTGTTCCTCTGATGTCATGTATTTGGTTGTAGTCAACAAACAATCCTACTTAATACCACCTGTTGTGCATTTAGTGTCCAAACAAGCTTATGCAACATTCTTGTTGGTGTTTACACAGGTATAGATCACCACACCGGGGTAGAGATGGGCCCGGCGCATCCGGATATCCGTTCGGATTCGGATATCCGCTCACGTTTTCAGCCAAATCAGACATCCGCATCCGCATCCGCATCCTCTGGCGGATACCCGCTTGCCCTGGCGGGTATCCGCGCGGATACCCGCGGATATCCGCCCCAAAAATGACCCCCAGGCTGCAAAATGAAAGTTTCTTGGGGAAATTTCAGATGCAGAAAGCTGCATAAACACTGATTTTGAATTTCTTGCGGCCTTCAAGCCTTCAATTTATTTTTATTTTTTCATTTTTTTTTCCTTTGCTGCTTGCAGCCTGTGACCCTCCAAAAAATATGGAAAATGGAAAAAATCATATTTCTTTTTGCTTTTGATTTTTTTTTGCTGAGCAGTTGGCAAAGTGGTTTTAAGTTTTTGTTTTTTATTGATTGATTTATTTTTTCTTTTCTTTTCTTTTATTTTATTTCATTTCATTTCATTTTATTTTATTTTTTCCTTTTGTTGCTCACAGCCTGTGACCCTCCCAAATATATGGAAAAAATCTAATTCCTTTTTCCTTTGCCATATTTTTTTTGTTTGTTGCAGCTAACTCATGTAAATTTTTACTGGCCTAAATTTCATTATTTTTTGAAAATGGATGGTTATATCAACTTTGCATACAAATAAGTCTGGTATACGGTACAAATTATCATAATTTTTATAATTTAATTATGCAATAAATGGGGTACACTTTACCATCAAATTTCACACCTCTTGAAGTAAGGGAAAAAATAATGAAAATTAATTATTAATCTGTCAAAAATTAAATTGTTTACAGGGATTTTCCCTGATTTTTCCTTGTTTTGGCGCGTATAACAGTTTTTTTTTTCATTTTCACATGTGGGATTCATTGAAAAAGAAAAAAAAGGTTGCATTGGGCCATCAAAGGCCAAAAAACAAAAATCAATCCCAACACATGTAAGGAGTGGAATCTCCTTTGCTGTTGAATTGTCTCAAGAGGGGCGCAAGGACACAGATTCTATGACCAGGGACTGTATTTCAAGAATGAGCGGGAACTAGCTCAGAGAGATATGTCAGTCTACAGGGATCTCTCTTATATACAACTGGTTATAAGAGAGAAAGAAGGAATAAAGTGAAAAGGGTGATTCGCTTACCTAGCTCAGAGAGATATGTCAGTCTATAGGGATCTCTGCTGAGCTAGGGATGGAACAGGCTGAGACTAAGTACCAGGTGGATTATGTAATCTAGTGATAGCTATGTAACAGTTTTGTGAGACCCCAAGGAGGGGGCTTACAACACAGCACTTGTGGTTGAGATAGGTAGGTAGTGCTGGGCCGTACAGTCAACTCTGCTCTAACCCATACCTGTATTAACCCATACTCTCCTGTAACCCATGGCAAAATGTGTCAACCAAGTTGGTGGACAGCCAAAAAAGGCTATCAAACCCATAACTCTCTAATACCCAGTAACCCATACCATATGGAGAGAAAAATACAAAAAATCATGGGTTTTTCTCTAACCTTACTGAGGGGTGGTTCAGATGTTTCTTGCTTCCAAAAACTAAATCCTTCCAACCAGTCTATCATGGAAGAGCCACCCATCCCAAAATACCTCCTTCAACAGGGTAATATACTGTCTTTCAACCAATCCAACTCAGATAAACCGGAGGATCTTGCTTATTCCAGCTCAATTTATAACATTCACATTGATATACTTTCAAAAAAATATCAAGCTTTGCAGAACTAAGTCAAAAAAGAAAAACAAGGAACTGGTGGAAAAATAAAAGCAGAATGAGCTTACTGGAGGACTTCCCGTCAACATCTGGGGGTCTCCCAGAGTCGGTTTAGAGCCTTGAATTTCAAATTTCTCTGCGAGAATTAAGAGTTTTCCGGTCTAGATTGACTTCTGCAAGGGTCCCAGATCCAATGGGAAGTCCTCCACTTAATCCAACAAAGAGTGGATGGATAATGTGGTGAACTTGATTGAAAACCACAAAGTGGTTTTTCTCTCCATTAAACCCATGAAATCATCATTTGATGGAGAGAAATTCCAGGTCTTCCCTCACCTCTTTGTTAACCCATAAAAACATGAGTTAATGAAGGGAATTCTCTAAACCCATGAATCATGGGTTAATAGAGAGCCTCTTCCTCCACCCATACTCTATATTAACCCATAGTGTTTTGTGTCCACCAAGGGGTATGGGTTAATACAGAGTTGACTGTAGTGCCATCATTGATTCAGGAAAAAAAACTGCAGCAAGCCCAGGGGCTTCAGGGCAGACCTGGAATTCCCGGGGTTCGTTCCTTGGGATGACCCTCTAGCCCCGTCCCAAACCCCAAGACCATGCCTTATTTAATCCCACTACACTGTTGGCCCATAGTTGCTTCTGTGTTTCTTCCATCCTTATATTTGGACATACATTTGAGTTACTGATTGAATCATGCTTATGCTTTGAGACTTGATGACTTTTTTCAATTTGTCCTAAAATGCCATGATAAGCTTTTGCCCCTGCCATATGATACACTAGAGAATTGGTGTGCAGCTTTAGTTTGGTAAATTATCATTTACAGAATTCTATTGAATTTCCAATCAGGCAGAGTTGGTATGGAAGAAGTTTATGCAATGTGTGGAATGATTAAGATACAATGACAGAAATCTCTCGTGTTTCAGAATGTGTTTTTGGGAGTAAAAAAATCAAGCACGGTATGAAGAAATATAGTTCTTGAGAACATATGAGGAAAAAATGTAATGGAAAAGATTGACAAGAGTGGATGGGTTCATATCACATATTTCAGCCACTTACAGGCACAGAGATGAATAAAGAGATGACAATAAGAGCAACAGAAAGAGAGGAGAATTGGTTTGATTGTTAAACAAACTTTGTGCTGTGATCCCAGCAGATAACAGAAATGAAATCAACAAAGGGGCTCCTGAACATAGAGAGTGGGCAAGAACTAGTCAAATTTTACTGACCAGAGGCGTAAGCCGCATCACCAGCTCCCGGGGAGGCTGATGAATTCGAATGAGGAGGAAAAAGAGGGGAGGTGAATTTCCCAGCTGGCGGACGGGCTCCGGTCGAGTTTGTTGTGCCGTTGACTACTCCCGCGATCGGCGTAGGGGCATGGGGCGCAGGGGTAGACGCTTGGGGTGGAGGTGGAGGTGGAGAAGCCGGGGTTGGTGGTGTGGAAATCTGGGGTGGAGGTCCAGCAGCAGGCGAGGAAGAGCCTACTGGAGTTATAGGGGTACCAGAAGGAGGCTGAGGAACGACAGAGCCATTGAGAGGAGCGACAACCTGGGGATAAGGATAGTAGGCATAGTAAGGTACAGAGGGCCGTTGATTGGCAGTGGTGGGTGGCACAGCCGTGTAAGGGTAAACAGTATAACCTGTCGCGGGCGATGGATTCGGGGGGGACGAAGGGCTGCTAGGCGACTCTGCTGGGGGGTCTCTCTACGATTTCGAGTGGGCAAAATTCAAAGATAGTCGTTAAGTAGAATCGTCAAAAGTTTACAAGCGGAACGTATCTCAATCCTGAGGAGACTAACCGGGGGAGTTATTCCAAAAGATTCTTGACAGGTCGCTGGCAATTTCAGCGCTTTCGACAGTGAGTTCAAGTCACACTCCTAAAGGCATTGGTAAAGGTGGGGACAAAATCCACGCGCACAAACAAACATGATATGAGTTCAATGAGCGTCTAAAATTGTAGGATTCGGCTCCACTTCGTAGATGAAGCGAGTGATTCCTCTGTTTACCTTACGGACTGTGATGTTACAGGTAATCATGAAAACAAATCAATAAATGTCCTTTCAAAAGGAAAATTGGGTGATTCTATCATGGTCGAAACGTACAGCAAGCTTCGTTTGTAGCCATTAAATTGGGCTGTTTGCAGATACATTTGAGATCTGCCGCATCCGTCGACGGGAAAAATCCAACGGTTAGTCAAAGAAGATCGAAAAAACGGGCGAGATCATAGGATCAGTGTCGGCTTGATTGATGGCTCGGCTCAATGACCCCAATATCTCAGAACATAAGAATAATTTAGGAATATTGAGTGGACAGACCTTGGCAGGAAGATTGCAATGAGACTGATTGGTCTAGGCAGATGTAAACGCACGAGGGTAGACGCTAGGGAATGCAAGATGAAAAACATATGTGGAATGAAAGGGAGTGAACTTCCATTCTTGTGGTAGTAACTTGTGATAACGATACCCTTGCAAGGAATGAATAGCAACACTGATTTGCTTACCCCAATGCCCAAGGACCATGCCGATGCTTGGTCGACATGCAGAAACATAGCTGCTGCCAAAATGCTCACGGAGACCCGTAAAATTTTGAAACTCATGATATCCGAATGTCGCGGGAATGAATTCTGGTTATCCGGCCTTTTGCGTGTGGACGTCAAGGTGGCAATCAAGGCCAACTGATTTATTGAATGGTTAGTTTTGTGTGGTATGAAGGTCTTGACTCTTGAGCGGGTCCAGACGCTTGTTGATCGGCGAAAAAAGGTATTCAACTCTTCTACGTTCTATGTTATTATGTTATACTTTTCGGGATACCCACCGATAAACTCAAGATGAGGGGGGGGGGGGGGTTAAGGGATTCAGGAAACAGGATACTCCCATTTTCGGAGAGTGAGACTTGAGCACAGCCAGTCCTGGGGATTCTGGCTAATGTGCCCAGGGAGAAAGATTATATATCGTATTTGGTGTCTAAGCTCACCTTAGGACTTCTTAGGCTTGTATGTATGGCGAGAGGTTTTCAGAGCTCATCACAGCCTTGATTCTTGAATCATAAATTTATTTAAACCATGCAGGCTTCCGCCAATTTCCAGATCGCCACGCTCCTTGACGGACTAAAACAGATCTTCGTCACTCGAGAGAGCTCCATTTGGACAATGTTCACTTGCTTTTTCATCAATGATCGGCTGGTGCTGTCCTCGGAGATGATCTGACTCGAGCATCCATTCATCTGCCCGTCGCATCAATGAGATAACGGCGCTCAACTCAACGATGCGCTATGTGTGATCAGGGATCACCGTATTGAGGCACGAGTACGTAAGTAGGAGGAAAGGAAAGTGATGGCTTAATTGCATAGAGAGAAGAGCATAATGTGGAGAGAAATACAACACTATTTATAGTCCACATTATGTAAGACAAAGAGAAGAAAAAGGAGAATCGTGAGAAGAAAGGATCATGAGACAGTCGGACGTCTTGTCGAGATCATCGTCTATGTCATTCATGACATAGACTGTAGTGAGACGTAATCATTACTCATGATTACGTAGTCGAGCTACAACACCCCCCCACTCGACAAGACCATGGCATTATTGATTGAGGAAGTGGAGAAATTGGATCCTATGTCTGATACAAGGGTGGTGTCGTGTCGCAAAAATCTGGCCGGGAGCTTCGGCCTGGGGAATGTCGGTCGGCTGATCTTATTGATTCCGCTTCACCGGTGTGCTTGGCTAGCTGGCTCTCTGGGGTTAACCAGTTGACAGCTCAAATGGTAGAAAGGTCCTCCAGCTAACTTTCCGTTGTCTGAATGAGGATTGTCAGAGGTTGTTTTTGTCATCCGTTTGAAGGTACTGATAGACGGTGAGCAAGTTATCAGACATTAAGAGCTTATCGATGTGTTATGGACCCAACCGGGCGAAGCTGGAGAACATAAAGAATAGCCCCATCTTTCAGACTGAGCCGGTCGCACAAGACATGATCTTCGGAGCTTGAGAGCTGAGCGTCGTTGCGGCCGGGTCGAGGTACAATTACTGAGGTTGCTCTGAAGGGATTAGCCGACAAGGAGAGTCAAGAGAATCCGATGGCTTGCTGGTGGTTTTTCAGAAGATTGGAAACATTGGCTTCTCCTCTGGATTTCCTTCTGCATGTCAATGTTGAGCAGTTCGCTATCTTTATCAAGCAGCTTCAAACCTCTGAATTCGAGCTCGAGAACACATTTTTGACCGATTTCTAGTTTATCAACCAGCAACGCGAGCCGGTCGTCCCGCCCGAGGTAGACCGAAAAGCGCGGGTGGTACTCTTGAATTGCTGCTTGAAATGCTAGTGATGGTGCTACAGCGACTCGCGGTGGCCATCAAGAGTTTATTTTGTTCTTGTTCAACAACACCAGTCAACTTGAGTTCTTCGTGCCAAGTGGATGCCGGCTGTTCTTGCTGATGTCGGTTTCACCGATGTGTTGCTTAGATGTAAAAGGCAGCCTATTCTTCCAGACCGAGTGGAACAATACACAATCACCTTGATATAAGTCGAATCGCTGGTAGCCAAGGAACAGCAGCGAGCTGGATACAAGATAATTATGTCGCTGTATAACGGTTGCCGGTGGGTTTTGGAGACCGCAGGGAATTTGGATCACTGATTGGGAGGCCGTTATAAGTGAGGTCGTTAGTGAGGGGAACAATGTCGCAAGCCGCCTGCATTGTATTGGTATGTATACTGCCGTGAACGTCAACAACTTCCTCCCGGACGCTAGTTGCCTCTTGCCTGGCGGAAGGATCATCGATTCGGTCGACCGGATTTTAGTGAGAAATTTCGGCACCAATCAGTGATGGATCCAACAAACAGCGTTGAATGGCGAGCTTGACCGGTGGTGGTGCCATAGCTAAGATCAACACTCTAGTCGGAATTGTCAGGACATGCCAACCCCCCCCAGTTCGGCACCATTCTGGAAGCTATTGACAATGACCCAGAGCGACTGGAGTGCGTAAAGTTTGAGTGCTGGTAGCAGATTCCAAGGTGCGCTTATGTGACGTCCGAGTTGTGTGTAAAATCCAAGTAGCCGTCCATTCTGATGTGTGTAGATGTCCAGAACGGCAGGCAGACATAATTGGGGAAAAAGTCTGTCATACTGGAGTCCTCAAGGTCGCACACGGCCTAAGAGTTTGGGAGAAGTCGGCCGACCCTCAGCATGTGGAAGGTGGCTTTGAGGTCTAGCTTTGACAAAGAAACAAGCGGGCCCAGGACAATGAGGAAAGCCGCGCCAGGGTTCCCAGTCAATCTTCAATAGCATGGAAAGGCAAGCGTGAGGGGAAAAGGCACAGAGGAGTCGTAGAGAGTTGTTTGCGGTTGGAGATAAGCAAAGCGTAAGAGATGCTAGTGTTGCAACAAGATTGAGAACCGTATCGAGTTACTTTTTGTTGAATTCCCAAGATAACGTGGGTAGTGAGCAAAGACAGATCCAATCGCATTGTGAGCAGCCAGGAATATTGCATCGTTGGAGGAGGCACAGGGAGCATAGTCGATAAAAAATGAGGCAGGCTGAATTATGGAGGAACCACGGTAAAACAGTAACAGTATGTATAGCAGAAACATTGAAAGAGGAGAAAGAACGGTATTCGCAGATGAGTCGGAGGCAGTCGGAGAAGAGAGGGAAGGTGGGAACACTACTACTATAAACTCAGTATCAAGAAAAACTATATAAACTCAGACCATCTCCACCGCGGCTGCTAAACCGCGCTGCTAAACCGAATATAGCAGCGCAAACTCGATTTAGCAGCTCCACCGGGGCTGCTAAACACTCAAATTTTTTAGCAACTCACCTCTCGGCTGCTATCCCGATACCAAATTTGGCATCAGGATAGCAGCTCAACCTCGCGAGTATCACAAGTTTTTCTTGTGATTCTCCCGCTCACCTTTCCCCATCGCCCCCGAAACAACTCAACACCCAATGCCCAGATCACTCGAAAGTGTACACTCAAGGGCCGGTACCGGTCACTAGAGGATGTACGCTCTCAAAGATCGGCACCGGTCATCGTGGATGTACGATCCCAAGAATCGGTATCAGTCACTAGAGAGTTTACCCTCTCCGATGACCGATACCGGTTCAAAACAAGTGAATAGGAATCTCAAATCGTATCGGTCACACGAGAGTCAATACTCTTGAGGACCGATACCGGTTAGAGATCACCAGAGAAGTGACCCTTACCAGTGTACAATCCCTATGGAAGGTACCGGTCACCGGTGTTAAGCTCAAAAGTGTTCGTGAGAACCTTTTGCTGAGTTCGGAAAGGGATGTGTGAGGTAACCTCTGCCTTTCCTGTGTACTACACTAAACAAGACCACCAATCTTAGATTGGCAGCTTTTAATTAGTGATAGTGGAGTGTATCAAAAGATACTCTGTTGTTTAACAGGTGGACAGGTGCAAAAAATGGGTTGTTGTTATGTGTAAAGATGTTGTAATAATTGTATGTAAGGGGTGTTATAATTGTAAAACCAAAATATTGGGGAACAAATAATATTATGGAGTGAGCAGTGATTTGCCTGTTATGTGGGGAAATGTCTGCAGGAAGTCTGCTGGGGAGAAATTACAACTGGGAGGAAGGGCCTCCTTATATAGACAACAATGAGGTATTTTGGCTCCAGGGGAGCCAGGAATGAGGGATTTTGGCTGGTTGTACAGCCTTACATGAGGGAATTTGGCCAAGATGGAAGAATACATGAGGGGTTTTGGCTGGTGGTACAGCCTACATGATGTGATTTGAGATGTTGAGTGGTTTCCGTCGGATTGACAAGCTGTGCAACAGTTGCTATGCAACCTAGCAACCTGCAGGCTGTGTTCTGTAAGCCGCATGATGTCATCCTGTATTTGAGGCTGTACGCATCACATGACAAGTTGCCAAGGTAACCTGTATGCTGTGCCTGCATACTTCCATTGTACTTGATTGAGACGTACAGATGCCAGATCACATGGCCCGGAGGGGTGAAATGTGTACCTGAATCCTTGTAACATGTAAGGGTGCTACCCCCCTACCTGTGAGTAAAAGAGGGGTGTAACATGCAACACAGGGGGGTTACATGTGTCCAAGCCTGCTCCTCTAGGGTGATTTTGGCCCTGGAATCCCTTCCTGGAGCCCTATTTGGTGTAATATTATTGTATATACAAGAAGATATAAAATTTTTGAAGTTGTTGGATGGGAACCCATAAAGTATCCCACACCGGATAGTGTAGTCTCTCCTTGGTCGGTACCGGCCGGTCGCTATAGAGAAAGAGGTAAATACAATAAGGAGTGCAGTCTATGCTGCCCCGGGGGGGGGACCTTTCACATTCCCCAGTTGCTATTATAGCAACTTCCGGTGCAAAACCAACTTGACGCAAGCTGCTAAAAATGCGCCGCAGTTGCCAAACTTTCAGATTTGGCAGCTCGGATAGCAACTTGCGGTGGAGATGGTCTCAGTATCAAGAAACACTATTTCACTAATTATCACCCGTTGTATCACACAGAAGTAGAGAAAACACCCGATAAAACACAGAGAAACATGCCCACACATGGGACTTCACCAGAGAGACGAGAGAAACACCGATAGAGAGAGAAACTTGCCCACACATGGGACTTCACCAGAGAGACGAGAGAAACACCAATAGAGATAGAGGGAAACGCTGATGGAGAGAAAAACACCGAGACAAAAGACCGAGAGAACCACGCGAGAGAAGCCAGAGAGACACCAGTAGAATTAAGTGTTAAATAATTAAAGATTCACTACTAATATTAATGGCACAGCCAAAAAAAATGATGCATTTGAAGAGTGTACTCATCAAAAGAACTCGTACCAAACTAAA